TTTCCTCGCTATTTCAATTATTTCCTCGTTGCTTCCTGTATTTGCTCGTTATTTCGATTAACCTCTCGTTGATTCGAGAATTTTCTTGTTGCTTCGAGTATTATTTTGTTCCTTCGATTAATTTCTCATTAATTCCATTAATTTCTGGTTGCTTCGAGTATTTTCTCGTTCTTTCAAAAACTTGAAAATTCGAATATTTTCCCGTTGTTTCAATTAATTTCTCGTTGCTTCAATTTTCTTCCAAAAACTCAAACGTGAAGTAACGAGAAAATACACGAAGCAACGAAAAAATATTCGCAGCAACGAGAAAAAAATCGAAATTTCAAGTTTTTGACAGAAACTCGAAGTAACGACGAAAATACTGGAAGCAGCGAGAAAATAGTTGAAGCAGCCAGAAAATAATCGAAACAACGAGTACATACGAGGAATTAATCGAATCAACGAGAAAATATTCGAATCAACGAGAAAATAATTGAAAACAATGAGAAAATAATTAAAACAACGAGATCTTTCGCTGAATTTTTGTTCAGGCTACAAAATTGGCAGCATTAGGCATTTGTACTTACACTCTTTCATAGTATATTATTGAAGGATTTCATCAGAAAATCCGTGGGGTGCTATAGCGTCTGCAACCCACTTGGGAGATAACGGCCTACATCATACGTCAGTGAAGCATTAATCACACTGTTGACGCTATACTTAAACAGTAAATATGGAAAATAACAACGTTGAAGGTTGTGAAAATAGTGGTAACTTATCACGGAAATATTGAAATACAATGTAACAGAAAAAGCTTTAACTATAACTGTTTCATTTCATATATTCTTGAGTGTATATACAAGAAATAAAATTGCCCAAATAATGAATTGCAAACCAAAATAGTTAGCAAGCATATTAAATAATTTTACAGGTTATGAAATATTACATTATGTTTGCTTTAAAATATTTGGTACCAAAATAAGCGCGATCCTGTTTTATGTGGGGCCTTAAATATATGGACGTTATGTATGGTGCTTGTATAAGCATGTAAATTGTTTCGGGGAGGAAAATCCAGAACACAAAAAGCAAGGTTGTATAACTGATGTTGGCGTTTGTTCCCATTGCTGTATTTAGAGCGCATTGTATTTCTGGGTCATGTCACTCAGTATCTCATCTACACGATATTCAGGCAGATATCATGTTGCAATGTTTCTCGAAAATGGGAAAACATTGGACACAACAGTGAATGAGTTTAGTTTTACACCGCACTCGTAAATATTCCAGCCTATGGCGGCGAGCTGTTAATAACCGAGTCTGGACCAGACAATCCAGTGATCAACAGTATGAACATCGATCTACGCAATTGGGATACGTTGACATGTGTCAACCCTGTCAGCGAGCCTGACAACCCGATCCCGTTAGTCGCCTCTTACGACAAGCATTGGTTGCTAAAGATTGGACAGTGCTATCTATTTTCTGTCATTCAGACATAACTGATCCTCACCTATTCCTAAACATTTTGCATTACATTACGGACGTGCTGAGTCGAACATGGATGATTTATATGTCATTTGCCGCATACTTAAAAACTATGTACATCCGAAAATGATATGGTTCCTTGTCCTGTTCCAGAAAAGCTAAATATTTCACTTCATCTTCAATAATGCATATTTGCTTTCAAGATACGACAGTGCTTTGAATCTGATACTGCGACAGGGAAACACGCCAAGGAATCAGTATGATACACATATATGTTGACAAACAAATTGTAATTGTGAACAATATGTTGTTAAGATAGAAAAAAAGATATACAACACAAATAGTACAAACGGGTTAATTGTAAAACTGATGGCGTACGAAGAGAAGTAACAAAGATGTAAAGTACGAGTATTTACAGAGGAAAAACCGACAAGGAGAAATCGAAATTTAGACCCTTTCGACTTAAGATTGGGAAAAAGTAAACATCCTCCGTATACACAAAACCGTATTTAAAAGTGAGAAATTCTGAAATGTTGAAATTTTGGCAGCTCAGCTGGTGAATGAGTTTATATAAAACTCACCTTTCCGTTGGAACCGACATCCTAAAAAGTTGCCTTCCAGCATAAGTATTCTGTTTTCGTTCTGTAATGTGAAGTGTCGGAGCCAGAGATTAAAACGAACTGAAAACTGGTGTTTATTATCACACAACACTTATAATTCATTCACAATTTAACATTATATTTGGAGGGTTTTGCCAAGGCCAGCCTCACGATGACAGTCCCGTTAATCCCAGGACTATTAGCAATTTAACAGCCGTTTTTCTGCAGAATAAACAGTGTTATTTGCATTTTACTGCATATGTACAAGCTGACATACAAGGAACGACCACTAACAGAAGACCGCTTGTTCCATAGCTATAATATTTGTAGCTCCTGCAAAAATGCACAAACTTGAAAGAACAGAAGTGTTACGAATAATTATAAGAAACAAAACATAACATTCAGAAAACTTACAAATATCATTGATGATAACGATTTAAACCAAAAAGTGAAACTAAATGTTTTCAAATAAAGGATTTTGTTACCGTAGTCTTAAGGTAAAACAATTATATGGTAAGGGATAGTACGCAATTCGTTATGGAAACATTTCTACATAAGGAGTAAGTTTTACATTGACAGTATCAAAGTCTAATAGTTAAACAGTAGTTGGGAGATTGCGTCTCAGCCAGTGATATAAATTCCAATTTCTCTTCATTATGTTTCATCAAACAGTTTTACTTTCTGTATTTGTTTATTATCAGGGTGTTGCTGCGTTTTGATGATTCAGAGGGTCTTACACAATGTCATTATTAATGAGTTTCATACATAGATTATGAATATTGTCACATCAAATACCTTGAGCGAGTTTTCTTCTTACAAACATCACACAAACGCACACAATCACTCAAACGCGCACTCACTCATTCACTCACTCTGGGCATGATGAACGGGATGCACTCACGCACTCACTCATTCACACGCGTGATGAACGGGATGCACACACGTATTCAACGCGCTTCAACACGGGTATCACACGCGTGATGAACAAGATGCACTCACGTATTCAACGCGCTTCACACGGGTATCAAACGCGCGATGAACGGGATGCACACACGTAGTCAACGCACTTCACACGGGTATCACACTCGCGATGAACGGGATGTACACACGTATTCAACGCGCTTCACACGAGTACAACACGCGTTTCAGATGAATTCCACAAAAGTGACCAACGCAGTGCACATGATTTGCGTAAAGCGTTGTCTTGGGATGCAGGTTTTTAGTGATTGGATTGTGTGTCGGTGACTGGTGAGAGTGTTTGTAAGCGTCTTTTTGAACTCGTTTGTTCTTGAAAATATGCTACTGTCGCAAGTGTTATGGCACAGCTTTTTCATAAATCGTTCCATAACATCTTTAATAGCTGAGAAACATTTATTTAGGACAACGAAAACGTTTTGACGGAAATACTTTGCCAATAATGTGACCCAGTGAACATGTTTTCATAGTATTCGTCCCTGAGAAGTATATTGTTGCACATTAAGCAAAGCCAAATATTATGATAATTTAAAGAACATGACGTTAGTCTATATACATAACATCTTTATTCCAGTACTCACAAGGCCACGAGCCTATAGTACAATCCAATATTAGCACAATATGAAACTTCATGGAACATATAGGCCGTGGTATAGCCTAGTGGTTAAAGCGTTCACTCATCACGCCGAAGACCCGGGTTCGATTCCCCACATGGGTACAGTGTGTGAAGCCCATTTCTGGCGTCCTTCGCCGTGATATTGCTGGAATATTGCGTAAAGCGGCGTAAAACTAAACTCACTCACTCATGGAACATATACATACTTACATTAAATCATACCCAGCGTAGGTATTCATGTATCCAATTATTCCTGCATGAGAAGGCACAATATATAAACATTGATAAATCCTTAAGTAGTTTTACATTTGAATTTGCTAACAACAGTGAAAATGTAGTGGTGTTTGGGTAATTATATTAATATGAGGGGTATATTTTTCTCTGAGTGATATGTATAATGGACAAACAAGTAAAAAGTGGTATTCGTTTTCAATCAATTTTAAGTTATATAGTCTGCAAAAAAAATATTCTCGGTTGATATTTGTATAACGGCCAGTTTGAACAAGGAGATCATGGGATGAGCAAAGGAGACGAGGCAACGATATTCTAAAAATTTTAACGGATATACTAGTTAAGTAGTCTTTACTGAAATAAGTTTTGAAAAGTATATAATGGTCTATAAAAGAAGACAAAAGCGATCGTGACGTGTCCCTGACTCTAGCATAGGACAAACCTAATTTGTGAAAATGCAGAGGTTATTAACTGGGTCCTTCTTAAATGTAAGAATCGCTTTCAAAGATAATTGAAATGTACTCGTCATAAAATCTCTCATGACCAGGGACAGATAATACAGAGCTATTTTGGTTTCGAAGGAATCACGGAAGCGTCACTGACAGTGCCAAGGGGAGGTCATAGACATCATGGATACATTGTTGGCTGGAGATAGGGGTGGGGAGGGGGGCTTGTCAAGGACATTGCAATACCTATCTGCACTTGTCACTAAAAGGTGAAAAAGGAAACCAGATTAAAGGGACGTCGCATTTTGACCCTGATTCAGCTACACGAAAAAACAGTTAACTCATTGCACTTAAAAGGGATTCTGTTTAAACTGCAGGTTCTTATATACCAATTTACTCAACACGTCTCATATACTTAAAATATATTCAGATGGTGTGTCAATTTGTCTGCTGCATGATGTGTTCCTGATATAGCCAATGCTATTCTCTGTCTGCCACTTAATAAATGTTCTTTTGTTTTTTTCATGTTTTTATTCCCAGAGTTTTGTTTACAGATTTTACATCAGTTATACCGTACGGGTAGCTTCACAGTACATAAGTACAGTATAAATAGCTCTATAGTACATAAGTACAGCATAAGTAGCTTCATACTACATAAGTACAGTATAGGTAGCTTCATACTACATAAGTACAGTATAGGTAGCTTCATACTACATAAGTACAGTATAGGTAGCTTCATACTACATAAGAACAGTATAGGTAGCTTCATAGGACATAAGTACAGTAAAGGTAGCCTCATACTACATAAGAGGAGTATAGGTGGCTTCATAGGACATAAGTGCAGTATAAGTAGCTTTATAGTACATAAGTACAGTATAGGTAGCTTCATACTACATAAGTACAGAGTAGGTAGCTTCATACTACATAAGTACAGAGTAGGTAGCTTCATAGTACATAATAAGTAGCTTCATAGTACATAAGTACAGAGTAGGTAGATTCATAGTACATAAGTACAGTATAGGTAGCTTCATAGTACATAAGTGCAGTAAAGGTAGCTTCATACTACATAAGTGCAGTAAAGGTAGCTTCATAGGACATAAGTGCAGTAAAGGTAGCTTCATACTACATAAGTGCAGTATAGGTAGCTTCATAGGACATAAGTGCAGTATAAGTAGCTTTATAGTACATAAGTACAGTATAGGTAGCTTCATAGAACATAAGTGCAGTATAGGTAGGTTTGCTTGTTTTTCATGTTTTTATTCCAAGAGTTTTGTTTACAGACTTTACATCAGGTATACCGTATGGGTAGCTTCACAGTACATAAGTACAGTATAAATAGCTCTATAGTACCTAAGTACAGCATAAGTAGCTTCATACTACATAAGTACAGTATAAGTAGCTTCATAGTAAATAAGTACAGTATAGGTAGCTTCACAGTACATAAGTACAGAGAAGGTAGATTCACAGTACATAAGTACATTATAAGTAGCTTCATACTACATAAGTACAGTATAGGTAGCTTCATAGTACATAAGTACAGTAAAGGTAGCTTCATACTACATAAGTGCAGTATAAGTAGCTTTATAGTACATAAGTACAGTATAGGTAGCTTAATAGAACATAAGTGCAGTATAGGTAGCTTCATAGAACATAAGTGCAGTATAGGTAGGTTTGTAGGACATAAGTGCAGTATAAGTAGCTTCATAGGACATAAGTGCAGTATAAGTAACTTCATAGTACATAAGTACAGTATAGGTAGCTTCATAGGACATAAGTACAAGATAGGTAGCTTCATAGTACATAAGTACAGTGTAGGTAGCTTCATGGGACATACGTGCAGTATAGGTAGCTTCACAGGACATAAGTACGGTATAGGTAGCTTCATAGTACATAAGTGCAGTATAGGTAGCTACATAGGGCATAAGTACAGTATAGGTAGCTACATAGGACATAAGTACAGTATAGGTAGCTACATAGGACATAAGTACGGTATAGGTAGCTTCATGGGGCATAAGTGCAGTATAGGTAGCTTCATGGGGCATAAGTGCAGTATAGGTAGCTTCATGGGACATAAGTACGGTATAGGTAGCTTCATAGGACATAAGTGCAGTATTGGTAGCTACATAGGACATAAGTACAGTATAGGTAGCTACATAGGACATAAGTACAGTATAGGTAGCTACATAGGACATAAGTACGGTATAGGTAGCTTCATGGGGCATAAGTGCAGTATAGGTAGCTTCATGGGACATAAGTACAGTGTAGGTAGCTACATAGGACATAAGTACAGTATAGGTAGCTTCATGGGACATAAGTACAGTGTAGGAAGCTACATAGGACATAAGTACAGTATAGGTAGCTTCATGGGACATAAGTACAGTATAGGTAGCTACATAGGATATAAGTACAGTGTAGGTAGCTTCATGGGACATAAGTGCAGTATAGGTAGCTACATAGGACATAAGTACGGTATAGGTAGCTTCATGGGGCATAAGTGCAGTATAGGTAGCTTCATAGGACATAAGTACAGTGTAGGTAGCTTCATGGGACATAAGTGCAGTATAGGTAGCTTCACAGGACATAAGTACGGTATAGGTAGCTTCATAGTACATAAGTGCAGTATAGGTAGCTACATAGGACATAAGTACAGTATAGGTAGCTACATAGGACATAAGTGCAGTATAGGTAGCTACATAGGACATAAGTGCAGTATAGGTAGCTACATAGGACATAAGTACAGTATAGATAAGCTACATAGGATATAAGTACAGTATAGATAGCTTCATAGTACATACGTACATGTTAGGTAGCTTCATAGGACATAAGTACAGTATAGGTAGCTTCATAGTACATAAGTACAGGATAGGTAGCTTCATACTACATAAGTACAGTATAGTAGCTTCATAGTACATAAGTACAGTATAGGTAGCTTCATAGTACATAAGTTCAGTATAGGTAGCTTCATACTACATAAGTACATAAGTTCAGTATAGGTAGCTTCATACTACATAAGTACAGTATAGGTAGCTTCATACTACATAAATACAGTATAGGTAGCTTCATACTACATAAGTACAGTATAGGTAGCTTCATACTACATAAGTACAGTATAGGTAGCTTCATACTACATAAGTACAGTATAGGTAGCTTCATACTACATAAATACAGTATAGGTAGCTTCATACTACATAAGTACAGTATAGGTAGCTTCATAGGACATAAGTGCAGAGTACAGTAAGGTGGCCTCATGCTACATAAATTACAGGTATAGAGTGGCTTCATACTACATAAGTGCAGTATGGAAGTACATAAAGTTACAGTATAGGTGGCTTCATGGGACATAAGTACAGTATAAGTAGCTTTTGAGTATACTACATAAATTACAGTATAGGTAGCTTCATAGTACATAAATTACAGTATACTACATAGAGGTACAGAGTAGGTGGCTTCATAATTACATAATAAGTGGCATAAGTACAGTATAGGTAGATTCATAGTACATAAATTACAGTATAGGTAGCTTCATGGTACATAAAGTGCAGTAAAGGTAGCTTCATACTACATATAAGTGCAGTAAAGGTAGCTTCATGGGACATAAGTGCAGTAGGTAGCTTCATGCTACATAAGTGCAGTATAGGTAGCTTCATAGGACATAAGTGCAGTATAAGTAGCTTTATAGTACATAAATTACAGGTATAGGTAGCTTCATAGAACATAAGTGCAGTATAAGGTGGGTTTGCTTGTTTTTCATGTTTTTATTCCAAGAGTTTGTTTACAGACTTTTACATCAGGTATACCGTATGGGTAGCTTCACAGTACATAAGTACAGTATAAATAGCTTCATAGTACCTAAGTACAGCATAAGTAGCTTCATACTACATAGGTACAGTATAAGTAGCTTCATAGTAGGAAGTACAGTATGGTGGCTTCATAAGAATTACAGAGTAGATTCACAGTACATAAATTGCATTATAAGTAGCTTCATACTACATAAAGTACAGTATAGGTAGCTTCATAATTACATAAGGTACAGTACATAAGGTAGCTTCATACTACATAAGTAGCAGTATAGGTAGCTTCATACTACATAAATTAGGAGTATACATAAGTACAGTATAGGTGGCTTCATAGAACATAAGTTAAGTATGGAAGTAGCTTCTAGTAACATAAGTGCAGTATGGGTAGGTTTGGTGGGACATAAGTGCACAAGTAGCTTCATAAGTGCGGTATAAGTGCAGTACATAAGTAGCTTCATAGGACATAAATTACAGCTTCATGGTACATAAGTACGGTATGGTAGCTTCATGGGACATAAGTGCAATATAGGTAGCTTCAGGACATAAGTACAGTATAGGTAGCTTCATGGGACATAAGTGCAGTATAGGTAGCTACACAGGACATAAATTACAGTATAGGTAGCTTCATGGGACATAAGTGCAGTATAGGTAGCTACATGGGACATAAGTACAGTATAGAGTAGCTACATGGGACATAAGTGCAGTATAGGTAGCTACATGGGACATAAGTACGGTATAGGTAGCTATGGGACATAAGTGCAGTATAGGTAGCTACATGGGACATAAATTACAGGTAGCTTCATGGGACATAAGATTTACAGTATAGGTAGCTACATCATAAGTACGGTATAGGTAGCTTCATGGGACATAAGTACAGTATAGGTAGCTACATAGGACATAAGTACAGTATAGGTAGCTTCATGGGACATAAGTACAGTGTAGGTAGCTACATAGGACATAAGTACAGTATAGGTAGCTTCATGGGACATAAGTTGCAGTATAAGCTACATAGGACATAAGTACAGTATAGGTAGCTTCATGGGACATAAGTGCAGTATAGGTAGCTACATAGGACATAAATTGTACGGTATAAGGTAGCTAGCTACATGGGACATAAAGTGCAGTATAGGTAGCTACATGGGACATAAGTACAGTGTAGGTAGCTTCATGGGGACATAAGTGCAGTATAAGGTAGCTTCACCAGGACATAAATACAGTATGGTAGCTTCATGGGACATAAGTACAGTATAGGTAGCTTCATGGGACATAAGTGCAGTATAGGTAGCTACATAGGACATAAGTTACAGTATAGGTAGCTTCATGGGACATAAGTACAGTATAGGTAGCTACATGGGACATAAGTACAGTATAGGTAGCTTCATAGTACATAAGTACAGTATAGGTAGGTAGCTTCATAGGTACATACATACAGTACAGTAAGTACAGTATAGGTAGCTTCATAGTACATAAGAGTACAGGTATAGGTAGTAGCTTCATAGTACATAAGTACAGTATAGGTAGCTTACATAGTTCACATAAGTACAGTATAGGTAGCTTCATGGTACATAAATACAGGATACAGTATAGGTAGCTTCATAGTACATAAAGTACAGTATAGGTAGCTTCATAGTACATAAGTACAGTATAGGTAGCTTCATACATATACATAAGAACAGTATAGGGCTTCATGCATAAGTACATAGGTAGCTTCATGGTACATAAGTATAGGTAGCTTCATAGTGTAGGTAGCTTCATAGTACATAAGTACAGTATAGGTAGTGTCATAGTGCATAAGTACAGTATAGGTGCTTCATAGTACATAAGTACAGTGTAGGTAGCTTCATAGTGCATAGTGAGTGAGTGAGTGAGTGGGTGAGTATGGTTTTACGCGGCTTTTAGCAATATTCCAGCAATATCACGGCGGGGGACACCAGAAATGGGCATCACACATTGTACCCATGTGGGGATTCGAACCCGGGTATTCGGCGTGATGAGCGGACGCTTTAACCACTAGGCTGCCCCACCGCCCCAGTGCATAGTACAGTATACACTTAACAAATGTTAAAAACGATATTCAGGGGAGGTCACAAACTGTAACGTAGACATTTGAGGAGGGTCAAGGACATTTTCTGGCCTATCTGCACTAAAACAATATTTCAAGGTGGAAAAAAGAAACGAAATAAGCAGGTCAGGTTTCCCCTAGTTTTATATTTTGACCCTGATTCACCTTAAGTAGCATGCACAGTTTTATTCATATATGAGGGATATCTTTCAACAAGTTTTATAGTTTAACCCTAATTCAGCTGAAATAAAATGCACTTTATTCATATAGCTCGTAAAACATCCTTTGTTGAAATTAGTATTAATATACTTATTTACTGAACACAGATCAATCTTGATATATATGTTAGGACCGCATATGTCTTGTCAAGAGCATCCTTTCCAAATCTGAAAGGGGGCAGCAACGTGATCTAACCAAGTAGCAAGGCTCGGAATCTCACCATGACTATTACCACAAGCAGAATGGAGCATGTAAATTCTATCAGCAAATCTGCCTTCTTCCAGATCAGAAATATTAGCATTGTATAGACCCCAAAGTCGCAGAAGTCCATGTCAGTGCCATGGTAACATCTCGGCTAGACTACTGCAATAGCCTGCTGTATGGGATCCAACACATCTAGCGTGAGTAAGTTACAGGGTATCAAGAATGCTGCAGCCAGGCCTTTGACACACATGTCAAAATATGACCATATTACACCGATTCTAAACAGGCTCCATTGTCTTCTTATCAAGCAACGGATCAATTACAAGGTCCTGACCTTTGTCATCAAGTCACTGCAACAAACGGCTCCAGTTTATCTGCAAACTAATTGCTTTGCACGTTCCCAAAAGATTCTCCGTTCAGCTCGTCTTATGCAGCTCGATGTTCCAAAAACAGCAAAAACATTTGATGATAGAGCTTTTGAGAAAGCAGGGCCAGTCCCGTGGAACTCTCCCCTGCTGGACATTAGGAACTGTACCACACCCAGTTCCTTCCAGCAAAAACTTAAAATGCATATCATTGCAAAAGTCTACCAGTGATCAGCGCTCTTGAGAAATCTTATTGGAAAGTGCACTATACAGATGACTACTTTTATTTTATTATGATTATTATGTATGTCGATGTATCTGATGCTTGATATGTTCCTGATTATACTCAATGATATTCATTGTCTCACACTTCATATGTGATGCGTCATGTATGTGTGTTAGTATTAGGACTAATAGCATGAGGGGCGGTGTGGTAGCCTAGTGGTTTCTCGTCATGCCGAAGACCCAGGTTCGATTCCCCACAAGGGTACAATATGTGAAGCCCATTTCTGGTGTCCCCGCCGTGATATAGCTGGAATATTGCTAAAAGCGGCGTAAAACCATATTCACTCACTCTCTCCAGAAACGGATTTCGTTGTTGAATACACTGTCATATTAGGAAACCAGAGAAATATTTAGATCTTCCGTCTTTACAAGTGTTTACAATAAATTTAGCTAACAAGTAATTCCTTCAAATCGTTGTCTTCCGTAACGCCATAAAAAATTGTTAAAATTGCCATATGTTTTGGGTATTGACGCCAAAAGATCTAATCATAAGGCCAATCAGAGAAGAAATAAGGCCTGTGCCAATTTTATAGCAGTAGTATTACATATACTACCCGTCAAAAGTTTAGATTTACTAGTGTAAATGTAGCCACTTACAGTCAATTGTTCTAAACTAGCGTTTGCAAAATATTCCATACTGTTTAAAGGTACTGTTTACCTATGAACCGATGTATTGTAAAACAAATTCGTAACGTTGAAAAGCTTATCGTCATGAGTTCAATAAATGATGAAACTCTGAGAAAATTGGTGAATTCTTAACAAAACTACACCAAAACTACACCAAAACGCCGCTGTTCACATGCACGATATTTGCACATGCTTTTCAGCATGTTACCTTCCCTCGAGAAGTATATTTTTCTTTTAATGCTTCCAACAATATATATTTTCGTTCACAGTTTGTACAGGACATCCAGAACT